TGGTGGTGGTGGTGGTGGTGTAGTCCACAAAGTATAGCAAGCGCTTCCACCTCATTTGCTGAAGCAGAGCCGCCTTTTACCCAGACATCACTTCTCTACATTTCAAGCAACTCACCGCCTTCCCAGGGTTAACAGGCTTGGTGATCTAGGGCTTATAGTGGTTTAGGGTGTAGGGTTTAGGCTTCAAGCTTTAGGGTTCAAGGTTTGGGTTAAGGGCCAGCCCCTCATGCAAAACCCCTTCCAAAAGCTTCTCATTCACGCGGCTCTTGATTTCAGAAAGACTCCTGAATGAGAAGAGGAACTGATTACTCTCTACACGGCAAGAAGAGCCTGCTTCTCAAAAAAGGCTGAATGGAAAGCAGCCTCTTTCTTCTAAGTGTATGTTGGATTTCATCGTCTATGTGTCTGGGATGAATTTCAGGAACGCGCAATTCTCAATTTCAAGTCTGATTGTAGTGGCAGGTGGGACTCAAAGTTCCCGACACCGTCCTCCAATTTCAGCAACATGTCATTCGCGACAACAGTCCGCTGCTGAAACCTGATTCACATCGCAGAAAGCCGTGAAAGGGCCATACGCTCTCACACACAGATCTTAGTCCGAGCGTGTGTCTTGAGAGATTGCCGAACACATCCTATGTTTTGAAACTCTCGGGAGATGGAAGAATCATGACACAAGTATTTATAAGCTATTGCAGGGTCCCATGTAATACATATATATATACCCTACTATAGTAGTTTCCATTTTCTTTCCCATCATCCCTATATAACCCCAATATACCCCAATATAACTACATAACCCATTATAGTAGGCGTCATCTTTTCAGGGGCTGCCGAGTCAAGCTGCTGCTGGCCAGATATGGCAAGCCAAGCCAATTGAAGCTTCGCTGTGATCTAGTCTTACAACCATGTGAGCCTCATTCACCTAAGCCTTGCCATTCCCCAAAAACATCCGAAAACCATGCGGACCTCCCTTGCTTATGGTGTTGACTTTTCCACCCTGCAGAAGCTCAAAGCCAGCAAGTTGGCAGGCGTCTGGAAGGCAACATCTTCTCGAGATTATGAGATGAACCCAAACACTAGTTTCCATTTTCTTTTCCATTATCCCTATATACCCCCTATATTACTATATTACCCCTATCACAAACTTATCACCATTCGTGTTCCCCACAAACCCGTCTTGGCATGCATTTGAAGAGAGCCATCAACCGCGACCATCTCTCAAGCCAGACACAGAAACCGCATGTGCGCTCCAAGCTGCTCTTCCGCAATATCCGGCGCTTTTAGCTCTATGTCTTTCAACACCGTCTGAGAAGGGCTGCTTGTTTTCGTCTTATTCCAGAAAAATTGAGTGTGCCGATTTACGACAACATCTCTGGTACTGAAAGTGCCGATTTACAAAAACATCTCTGGTGCTGAAAAACTCTAGGAGTTTGCCCATGCGGCCAAAAAATTATGTCAAGCGCTGTCGGCACGACCCACAGTACTCCGCTTAAAGATGACCAGCGTTGTAGAAAATGACCAGATCATCAAGCTCCACACTAAAGCCTACTTCGGATCCTGCCATCCTCCAGGAGCATCACATGTGCAGGGTCTCCGAGTGGCAGATATGTGTACATATGGTCTATTGTTGTATTGGGATAATGGAAAATAAAATGGAAGCTACTATAGTGGGCATGTCGTAGGACATTATGGTATGTTATGTTAGATTATAGGTCCATAGGGTCCATAGAGACATGACTTTTTTTGTTGCACATATAGAGCGACATTTCATGCGCACATATACTTAGTGGCTGTAGCGGTTTCATTTTACAGACGGGCATGGACGGATAGTTCAACCCAATGAATGAGGATCTTCCTTCCATCTAAACATTATTAGTTCCATGGTTATTACTATTATTACGTATATCTACCATGCCAGCTATTCTCTTCGTACGAATATAGAACGACCACCCCTAATAGCAAATTTGTCCCCAGAATATAGGGTCTCCAATGCGGAATTGAACGTCCCAAGCTGAAGTCACTTCATAAGTCCTTGAGAAGCCTGGCTGTTTTTCTGTCCTGGGCAGTTCCTGCAGCCCCAATACACATCTTGTAATCCAAGTCCCTCATGTTTCCCGGTATGACTATGTATACCATCATCTTCCATCCCCTTTCAGACTCTAATCTCATTAAGCCCATCCAGTACTGATTGACGTTGCCAAATCCCCTATATAATCCCTATATACCCCTGCATAATTCCTATATACTCACTAAATAACCCCTATATACCACTATATAATTCCTGAATACTCACTGCCCCCATATAATCCCTGTATACCCTATATAACCCCTCAATACCCCTTATGCAATCCCTTTCTACCCGCTATACAATGCCTATCTACTCCTATATAATCCCTATATCCTAAACCCTAAACCCTAAACCCTAAACCCTAAACCCTAAACCCTAAACCCAATCCACCCTCTTTGAAGCCGCCCTTGCTCGACCTTGCCTCGAGAGGCTCTACCTTCAGAAAATACTCGTCTCTCCATCTCAGGTCACCTTTACGTAGGGTTTAGGGTTTAGGGTTTAGGTTGAGATGTGGGGGATCTACAGCGGATATATGGGGTTATATAGTGGGTATGTAGGGGTTATATGGTGGGTATATAAGGATACTATAGTGGGTAGATAGATAGGGTCATATAGTGGGTAGATGGGGATCATATAGTGGGTATATGGGGGTTATATAGTAGGTACAAACGTGTTATATATTGGGTGTATGGGGATTATATAGATGGCATGTCGGGGTTACGCAGTGGGTATGTGGGGGTTCTGTAATGGGTACGCACGGGTCGTATGGTGGGTGTATGGGGTTTTATAGCGGGTATTTAGGGGTTATATAGTGGGCGTATAGCCATGATATTATAGCGTGTCTATTATATAAGGGTTATAAAGTGGGTAGATAGGAGTCATATAGTGTGCATATAGGGATTATATAGTGGGTGTATAGGGTCTATGTAGGGGTAAATCGGGATTATATGGGGTATGCAGGGACATACATGGGGGTGTATATATAGGGAAATATAGGAACATCTCGGGATAGATAGGGAAAGGTGGCTTTCCAAGGGTTTGGATGTATGTTAGCATTAGCGATGTACGGTTTAGGGTCAACAGGGTTTTCATGTGAGATAAAATGACTATCTGTAGTCCCCCTTAAGTATATGAAGTAGGGGGTATATGGGGATCCTACTGTGGTTCTGGGGAATTCCAAATTCTATCTACTTGAGGATGACTATAAGCTTTGCTTGGCGTTGAGCACCTGAGCGTCACAAGCCCAACAGCTGGCCCTTAGAGCCATGGTCAATGCTACTGGGAAAGGCCCTGGACAAGGGATCTTACTGCTTAAGGTTTAGAATTTAGGCGGTATCGAGCTAAAGCAATTACTAGGAATCCTTTGTCCACCCTTCACTTGAGGCCATCATATCAGCTGTAGCTCATCGGTACACTGGGCGGCTGTCAGAATTATGTGCTGTATTTGCCATTGGCGTTCTCTTCAAACTACCGAGGAAAAAGAGCACCTACAGGCTGCGATTCCTGCAAGGACTTGCGGCGTCAGGATTAATATATCCCTAATATAATCCTAATATATACCCTATTATAATATAATAGCTTCCATTTTCTTTTCCATTATCCCTATATAACCCCAAAATGACCTTTAGAAACTTTTGAATTTAGATGGAATTTAGATGCCCTCAGCTAACTGGCGGTAAACAGGGGATGACTGAATATGGGTTACAGCGACTGATTTACTAATCTACGGGATCTTATAGGATCCGTTCCCGCGGGCCCCAACCACAAGCAATTGAGGAGATGAGGGAAATGGGAAGAATTATTTTTTGGAACCAGCCAAATGCAAAATCTGAAACGCTTTCCCCGCTGAATGTCGGTCCTGTCAGCGCCAGCATACGTGCAGAGGACGTCAGGACCAGGTCGTACAACAGGACATCCTCCGATATGTTCCACTACTTTCTGGACGGAGAGGGGGTAAGGATGGGTAAGGATGCCAAAAATTCATGTCTCAGAATGCGGGATCTGCTGAAGATGTTTTAGCTTCCCTTCAAACCACGCATGCAATGCCACTGGTGACAGCGGCAGCATGAGTTGAAGTTCTCTCACAGGAAAGCTGGCACCGTTCCCTTGCTTGCGGCCTTGCCCAGTGACGAGAGCTCCGTGACAAGCCGCGAAGCCTCCGATCTGATCTCGGAATACCATTCCTTGGAAGAGCATGTCTGTGAAAGGGGTGCATCAATGAAGGTTAGCCAGCATTCCACAAGGCTTCCTCAAAAGTTCCCCAGCGCCCTCAAAGCAACAGGAGCCCAATGCATAGCCAAGGCCCCCGGCTAGAAGGTGGAGGGTCTCAAGGTTTGAGGACAGTTGCTTGGGGCCACACCAGTAAGGGGCGAGGGGCTCGAGTTGAGGTTCGGCATGGAAGCTTCACAAAGGCTGGGGCTGCAGCTCTATCAGTATGGTTGGGGTTTCCGTGGGAATACTGGCACAATGCTGGTACCAAAAAGAAAATGGAATTCAGCTGCTTGACCCTCTTAGCTGTAGCCAGGGCAATTTATTGCTAAGCGACTACAAAGATCTCTGGAGTTTAGGGCTGAGATGCAAGATGGTTGCTGGCTGCTTCAAGATTGAGGGCCACAGGTCTCAAACAAGGAAATCAACTGCTTGGGAGTGGTATTAGGGTTCAAATCGGTCGTGAGCATCGGGTTGAGAAGGCTGGAGACAAATTAATATTCATTGATTTCACGAATGCCTTCCTCTGGAGTTACTTGTTGGGTTTGAGGGGCATGGACTTCAATGCAGTGGACGCATGAGAGTTCCAGGATTGCAGGTGTTGATTTGCCCCAGCTGCCAACACTGCACACCTGCAATAGCTGCTTAGAAGCTTCCAGTTCCAGTGGACAAGCAAGTAAACTCTACTGAACGCTAGTCACACCAAAGTGTGGCCTGAATTGTGCTCGAACTTATTCTGCATGTAACAGAGACAGAAGCCAGAGACACCTGGAGAGAGATAGAGGAAAGGAAAGCCAGCTTGCTGACTTCGATGTGAGCTTCAACTGCGCTACCTCGTGGGGCCCATTCCATTCTGTGAAAACCGTGGCCAAGCTCTGCAGACCTAACGAAACCACAAAGTTCTCAGCCTTGTCTTCTGAAGTCTACAGACACCCACCTCTGCCGCTGAGACATGCTGAGACAACCAAAAGCCCTGAACACCACCCCACCTCTATGATCTTTCTCAGGCTCACACACACTGAAAACACACGAAGCTAAAATGAACCTGGCTTCAACTGCCAGAAGCGAAGCTAGTGCAACCAGGCCAATAAACTTGATTCCGACCGTCCATCGAAAGTGTACCTGCGAAGTGGGCAGTTGCGATACTACAACTATGGATATCGCGGGGGAAATCCCGTAGCTTTAGCTAAACACAGTTTCTGGCAGCTTGCACTATGAAGGGGTGACACACAAAGCCGCATCTTGCTCTTGATTACGAATGCTTATATGGTAGTTTCGGACCCGAATATAGGCCAAAAACTCTAAATTATAATCGTTATTGTAGGGACGCCTAAAAGCTACCCCCCATATTTGCCCCTCAGAGAACTCCTCATATGCACGCCCTACTGCTGATCTGAGTCTACGCGGATTCAAAGGACCTTAGACCTACACATATGAGGTTTAGTGGTTTCAGGTTTAGGGTTTAGGGTTTAGCGGGTTTAGGGTTTAGCGGGTTTAGGTTACAGCGCTGGCGAGTTTCAGAAGGACCCCTCATACAGACTCCTGTGGCTCATCTTACGGGTTCAGAGCAGGGAATAATAAAGCAACATAATCCCTAGAGAATCCCCTATTTCCTGCTAACAGCGTACGGGGAGGGGGGGGGGGGAGGCATGGGACCTACCTGGGAATGCTGGCCGTGCACACGTATCATATATGTGGTAGTTTCCCTATTTAGGGGGACCCCAATACAGACCCAAAATACTAGAATCCTTATAAAGACACCAAAAAAACCACTTTTGGGATCTTGTGGGAAAGCCCCATGAATGTACACAAAGATGTCGTATAGAGAGAGGAAAAAGGGGGAGGAGGGGGCCGGAGAGAGTGAGAGTGACATGGCATTGCAGGGGTCCCGACTTAATCACGCCCCAAGATATGGAGGTTTCCCAAAATTAGGGGTACCATTTTGGGGGTCCCAATAATAAGGACTATAGTATTTTGGGGTCTATATTGGGGTTCCCTTATTTAGGGAAATTACCATATTTTACATTCAAGTCAACCCCTTCCCGCAGGCTTTGCTCCTTGGATTCATTCTGCCTGCTCTTTTTAAAGGGGGTTATATAGGGGATTATATAGGAAACTACTATAGGGGTTAATAAGGGGGATACTAGGAGTTTAGACTATAACTAACCCCTAGAATCCCTATATAATCCCAGTTTCCATTTCATTTTCCATTTTCTTTTCCATTTGATTCTCCATTATTAAGGGGGGATACTAGGAGTTTAGACCCCCTTTAAGGAGTTTAGACTATAGCTCATGTGGGTGCGGCAATTCGCAAGATCGTTGATGCATGGTTTTACTGTTGGACTTGCAGAGCTGTCCTAAACCCTAAACCCTAAACCCTAAACCCTAGACCCTAAACCCTAGACCCTGAACCCCAGACCCTTGCGCTCCTTGGCAAAGCTATCGACGCTTTCCTTTGTCTCGTCCATGGTCTCCTGCCAGCGTGTGTATCCCCTCATACAGGGATAATGGAAAATAAAATGGAAACTACTATAATGGGTTATATAGGGGATATATAGCGGTTGTATTGGGGTCATATAGGGATAATGGAAAAGAAAATGGAAACTACTATATATATGTATATATAATGGGATTGTGTTTTTGATACCCCCCAACAAGTAAACACTGCCGCCAATATTATTGCCTCGCAGGAACTCATGAAATATTCCATGGAGCCCCTGTCAAGACGACAAGTCTTCCAAGCGTTGTGGACTCCTGGTGTGATGACTCAAGTGCATCAGATGTTTGTCAAGTCTGGTGCGCGTCATTGCATGCTGAACCCAAAATACTACCGCGAATCTACGCCCTTTTTGCAGAAAGTGCGATTTCCCTGCGTGCCGCCTCATACCGAAGAGGCAAACAAGACTCGACAAAAGCATGAAGGTCTGTTTTTCTTATCCTCCTTCAAGGACATTTGGAGCATCGCCCTATGCGGAAAGAAGGGAGGATATGTCATGTAAGGGGGTGCCGGGGGTTTACAAGTAGTGTGAAGCGATGAATATAGCAGCGCCAGAATCAAAAGGTGTCCATTCAATGGATATGTGCCAAAACGAAGTTCCTCACTGGGGTGCCAGAGCACCTACTAGTGGAACCTCCATTTACGGATAAATGGAAATCTCAAATGTGGGGGCGCCATCACCCAAGAGTTTGGCCCATTACAGCTAGCAATGGAATCCTTGAAAGGATTTTCCTCTCACAACGACTACTCCTATCCTCTGTCAGATGCAGTTTCCTACTTGTTCTGCAGGCGGGAAAGTCTTTGGGGTTCTGGAAGACTTCTGGCTGCCGGCTTGGTGCACTACCCTTTGAAAATGGTGCGCCATCGATGCAGTGCATTTCGCCCTGTAAACACACTGCAGGCACCGCAGCTGCAATTGCTTATAGTTCCTTTAAAACGCCCCCATCCATGACACCAACCCAGCATGCCGCGATACTGCGTAGATTGAATGCTCCTAGTCCTAGTCATAGAGTCCCCCTCAAGTAGACAGACTATGGGGTATATGGGGATCTTATTATCATATACCCAAAACCATATTCTATCCATTTAAGGGGGACTATAAGAACAAACCAGCAGAAAGCCCACTCCTTGAGCTGTTGGATGGACTGATCTTCTGGAGTCTCGAAGTCGACATCCCGCCCAAAGGAGACGTCTTCGTCCTGATATGATAGGAAGGCTTTCAAAACATTCACAAGTAATTTCTGCAGCCAAGCAATAGCATCAGTTGAAAAGGATACCAAACATACCAAAACAGTCGGGAGAAGCATCATGCGCTTCTGGTGCATGCATGTGACAAGCGAAGATTATAAAGTGAGTTGTAGTGGAGGTCCTGTTAACACCATGCAGTGGATACCAATAGCTTCTGGCAGTGTGCAGTTGACTGCGTCAGTGCTTACAGGCAGAAAACCGTCTGAAAAACTGCATCGCTTTCTTTGGCTGCCTGAGGCCTTGCTCGCGAATGACCATTGAGCAATGGGCACTGCCCATGGGATGATGAGACCCAGGCTTTCAGCACAACTACTCTGATTTGAAGTCGAAGCCACTTTGTCAGTTTCAGTGCGGGCTTTCAGTTGTTTGGCGGCTTTGGGGTTGCCAACTAATTATGTTTCAGGGCATTTCAATGCCTAGGGGTTTCCGCTGAGCGGAAGTGCAAGGTTACAAATCAACACTCACGTTGCACATCTGTACGGATCTCTAGACCCTAGGCTAAGCCACAGTCGGCAGGAAGCAGAGTAATCATGCCAGAACAGTTTGCTGCGCATGAACATGAGCGCGTGGGCCGCCATTGGTGAATTCATTCCCCAGTCTAAACTGCAAGTATCCGGTTAATAACCCCTATAGTAATTTCCTATATAACCCCCTTAAGTAGTTTAGACTATAGCTCAGATGACCCCAAACAAAGGTGGCGTCCGTCAAATGTTTCCTCGAGGCCGCCCGTGCCTCTTCAACCTTTTCAGCATGCAATGCGAGCCATAATCTAAACTCCTTAAAGGGCGTGATATAAGGGATTATATAGGGACTACTATAGGGTCATTAAGAGGGATACTGGGAGCTTAGACTATAGCTCATGTAGGAATATCCCCCTTGAGAACACGGTCCCTGCTAGATCCATCGCAAGCACGTGCAGCATCCAAGCATGAAGCCTGTAGGCTACGCTTTTGAGCACTGCCCTAAGAAACTTTGAGAAAGATTCCCCTTGTGAGATACTGAGATGCCAGATAACGATCCCCTACTCTGAGATATTCCAACATTGCAAAAGGAGCCTGCAACATGAGCCGTAGTCTAATCTCCCAATGTCCCCCTCAATAATCCCTATACTAGTCCCCTATAGAATCCCTTATAGACTCCCCCTTCAAGGAGTTTAGACTATAGTACACATGAAGCCCAGAACCAGTCAGACCATGCCAAGGAGCCAGATAGCTGTGCGTCATCCCCTTCAGTCAGATCGGTTACCATGAGCTGCCGACAGCGTTAAGCTGATTGTCCCTGATTAGCTCACTGTTTGCTCTGGCATTGGAGGATCAAGTCGCTGGTATTATCTTAAAAAAGAAACGCAACAAATCACACACAATCCCAGCTTCCATTTCCTTGATCAAAACGATTATGCATTCAAAGCCCCTAACAAGGAAACCCTGCTACTTACTCGATACATACCATGTATCTATACATATATATATATACACATACATATCTCTATCTGTCTTCATATCTGTATATCTATATATCTACATCCATATAAGAGGAGAACTTGGTCTGGAACACGCTGTGCATGTCATGTCTGGAGCACTATGTTGGCCCAAGGCTGGAAAATGCCAGCGGCACAGCAGTTGCGCAACAATGGCGTGGGGGGGGGGCGTCCGGAGATTAAGGCCCTGCTACAGATGCTGAAATACTATAATCCTTATGAGAAGGACGCCAAGAAAGGGACCTTAATCTAAACTGCCAGAGCAGTATGGAGAACAGTAACAATAACCATACTAGCGATTAGGCGTAGCAAGCAGAGGAAGAGGAAGAAGAAGCTGCAGAGGCTCACGCGAAATCGACCACAGGTAACACAGAAGAAAGCAGAACAAGAGGGGCTTGCGAAGCTAGAACGTTTTGAGCTAAGATTGCCATGTAGAAGCCTGAGATCAGCTACCTCTGTCTTCTGCATACCTTCAAGAGCCATAATTATCGCAAAACAACCTACAGTATCCAGGGGTGTATATCAGTATATGCCCTGTCTCACGAACATCTCCAACTTAATGTCCTTTGCACTGACAAACAACTTAATTTTCTGGTATAAACCGTCTCGAGAATCAGGGACCGCAAAAAGTAGACCATGGATAGCTGCCTTCCGTTGTTAAGCCCTACCTACAATGGGCCTTCTGAACATGGGTGGCTGGGAACAAGCCTTTGCATCCCGGCCTTTCGCCAAGACTGAGGCCTTTCCTGCTTCTTGCGCATGTGTGCTAGGCGTCTAAAGCGGACGCCCCGCAAGGATCCCCGGATGATGGCCCAGAAACAACAGTTCTCACAAAATCGGTCCTTACAAGATGACCGACAAATGTCGCTATACCCTCCATGAGTAACAGTAAAAATGCTTGTTGAACTCCATGCTTGGGGAATACCGGAAGAAGCCCTATATAATTTACATATAGTATATTCACTTATTCCCTACGAACAATAAACCCGAAACCCTAAAAAATAGTTTCCGTGTTCTTCTTCATCACCCCTATATAACCCCATACTGTACTCCTATATTCCCTTATTCCCTACTGACCCGTTAGTCATCTAAGTCTCCGACTGAAGGCGGATTGCAGCCCAATGGCGCTCGTCAGCGGCAGCTTCTGGCACCTCACAAACACTACAGACATAGGGGTTACAAATATAGGGTTGATATAAGGAGTTAAATAGGGTTTATATCGGTTTATATAAGGATTAAATGGGGAATTATATAGGGGTTATATAGGGATTCTATCTGGGGTTTGTATAGGGATCAAATAGGGGCTATACAGGGATGTCTGTCCCAATAGCGCAGGGTCAGATGGAAAAGAAAATAGGAAACGAAATGGAACTTGGGACTGTATAGTGGATTGCAGGGATTGGGGTTTCCAGAAATGAAGGGTCCCTCATTGGGGTTCCCTTTATAGTCTATTGAGGTCGATACGATGGGCGTCCCCCCGCTTGCTTACCTTCAACAAAGACACCTCTTCAAAAGCCTACAGATCTCAGCCTTTCTGGTCTTTAGTAGGGAATAAGGGAATGTAATCCCGATACAATCCCTACATAACAGACTCCCTTATTCCCTACTAACCCCCAATAAGCAAAGCAGCTCAGAGCTTCGGACCACTTGAACTTGCCAGTCGCTCTGCTTGCGCTTCCTCCGCCCCTTGCGGGAACCTGCTTCGGGAAAGCCAACAATGGATTGAGGAATCAAATGATCAGGTAAGCATCGTGGCCGAACATGATGTTTCTCTGCTTTTGGTTTGATTAAAGCTCAATCCTATCATGCTTCTGGTGAAGAATCCTTCTATAGCAGTTCAGGACGGTCCGAGTCATGCAGGAACGACTAGGGCTCTCATCGGAGCAGTAAGACAAGGTGAGGTAACAACGGTCTTCTAAACTGCCAGTGACCATGGTTCTGGCAAACCCCGCTGCGCTGGCTGATAATATCATATGAAATAACACAGAGTATTATTGTTTAATGTAATAGAATATAATATAGTATAATATAATATACTATGGTATAAAACTATACGGTATATAACGTTTTATGGTTATATTATAGTATACAGATCTCGACATGGTTTTGGTCATAGTATGTCATAGTTGACTCTTCCCTACGCGACACTCCCTCTAAACCCCAAAACCCCATGTTACTTATTCTCCATTTTCCAAGTTCTTGCCCATTTGGTTCTCCACAAACATGTAACCCAAAGAACACATAAGTATGCGCATATATATATATATACATATACATGCTGGTACCTGTTTACGTCCCTACAACCCCCCCCATCAACCTTCCGTCGACGCCGCCGTTCCAGGTCTGGAGCCGGGCGTCGAGGCACGCTCAGAGGTGTCAGCGTCCTCCTCCGCTACCCTAAACCCTAAGGGATTTGGAACCCCAGTAGAAATTATAATTTCAGCTAAATATTAGGTTTCTAGGTAACAGAAATTAGAAATTGTTTTCAGGAACCTTGTAGTAAACCCTAAACATAGTTCGGTCTCAAGTCAGAACAATGGGCCCCGTATGAGCCCAAATAAGGGCCCATGGTCAACAAGTACATAGGCCCAGAAAGGGGGCTCAGGCCTCTTTTGGAAGTCTCCATAAAGAGGGTATTTCGTGGTGTATGTTAGGTACCCCACCCTGTAACAGTCCATAAAAGGAGTAACATTAAGGGCTCTGTACAAGCATGCTGTAATAAAGATTGTCCAACTGTTGCATATACCCCATAACCCCTAAACCCTAAATAGTAGTTTCCATTTTCTTTTCCATTATCCCAATATATCCCCTGTATAACCCCAATATACTAAAGTAGTTTCCATTTTCTTTTCCATTACCCCAACTGTTACTGAGTGGGGGGCAGCATCCAAGGTGTATACGGGAAAGGTCGGAACGTCTGGGTTCCCATAGGGTTTTAGGGTTTAGGGTTTAGGGTATTATAGTAGTTTCCATTTTCTTTTCCATTATCCCAATATTATCCCAATATTCCCCCCAATGTTGGGGTTATATATTGGGATAATGGAAAAGAAATTGGAAAGTACAGGGATTATAGGGATTATATATTTTCATTTAAAGCACACTTGCAGCTCTGAGTAGTTTGGGGGATTCATGGGGTAAGGATATTAATGAAGGAATTGCTGCAAACACCTTGATTTCTGGAAACCCTGGCAATGACAGCACTTCAGGGACCCCCCCCGGGGTGCAAAATTTCCTCCAGCAACAGAACCTATATGAAACCTTCTTGAGAGTTAAGGTCCTTCATCATGAGTCAAATGCTTTGTCCACAATGTGAGGACACTTAGTAAACCCACACGTGATGTTGAGAATCCCACTGACAGCAAGAACTTGCACTCCAAATACAACGTCAACAACAATCAGATTCCCCTTACGAAGCATTTTGAACTCCCTCAAACTCTCGCAAAGAATTCCTGCCTGGAGGCTGTCATATATGCCCAACTTCTCTTTCAGCTTGCCTGACGCTCAGAGTTGCTTTGCTTCGAAGACCCCAAACAAACACATCTCCCTAATGCCCGCTGTACTGCACTGGGAAGGTTAGTTGTTCTGGGGAAGTTTAGCATGAGGGAGGCAGGGTTCGAATGCAACTCATGAACTGCTACTTGGCGCAAGGTTTGCTTTTAGAAGCGACATCATGCAGGTGGATGCATGTAGGGGTCAAATGTCGGCCTTCCACTCACTTGTTGGGGAATCACGGACCCGGTCTTCACTCGAATGTCTGCGATGGGATTGCTTGTACGTCACTATATTCCTGTTGAGGCTTGAATAAGGGTATATAGGATTATAAAGGATTTGGGGTTGCAACAAATGGTTCTGCTCCTTTGCTCTGTGCTTCACGAGAAAAGGATGCTTCTATCACCCCGAAAATGCTTTGCATCTCGTCATGCTGAGAAAACGGTTGCCGTCCCGTGAAGAATCTCATGGCCACAGCGTGCTTCCCGTAATGACTCCTGTAATACTCCACTACATTACCCCCAATATAACCCCCCCTTTAAGCAGTTTAGACTATAGCTCAAGTCATTTCTACACAGATCCGATCGTCTATGACGGTGGCCTGGCAATTTGAGGCGAACTGGAGCGTCGGCAGGAAGCCAATTGCTGGCATCCAGAATATCTGACCCAGCATGGCAGGGTGAAGGACTTTCAGGGTGTTGGAACATTCTGACGCCCAAGTAGTACAAGCTTGGATCATCTTGGATGGTCATGGCTTTCGACCCAGCTACCCTGACGCGAAACAAGATGGGCGTGGGTACCCAGTCAAACGAAACATATCTGGGGGCTGGATATGGGTTTAGCGCTACGGTTATGACTCTCCATGGACCTTCACGGCATGGCGACTAACAATCACAGATCCAAGCACAACCATATTCAGAGTGCCCAAGCAAAACACATCAGGAGCGTACAGGTCTGCACTGCAATTAGTAACAAGACCCTCCAAGCCCTTTTTGGTCTCAAGGGCATCCCACAACCACGCACCAAGTCTTCAGACCCTTATGCCACTCATGCCACTCACATCTTTGAATGTCGCTAAGCAAGAGGATGCAGTTGCAACATCCTTCAGCTTTGCCATAAGCCCGATAAGTCCCGTGGCCACTCACACAAAGGTCCCACTGTGTCAACTGTTGACCGGCACCTGGTATACTCTTCGCGGCCACTCCGAAAAGGCCCTCGTACCACTCCTGTCCGTTGCAGCGGTAACGATGCGTAGGC